GCACCCCCCGGTTATCGAGTAGATACGCTTATTGTCTTGTGGGATAGATGTCTGCTTGCGGCAGGTGGCTGATTCGCCTTCGGTACCTATTTACCTATTGCCTAGGTACCTAAATAGTGTCCCATGCTTGTTGGTAGGTTGGTGGGGTGAGACTCCGTCAACCCAGGCGTGCCAGGGCTCTGCAAGTAAGGGGGTAAGGCATTGCATGTGCGAATGAATTGGATCAGTTATGACCCCTCACATCACAAACCAGCCCCGCACGACCCTTATCGCTGGTTAAGTATTGTGAGCCCGATGCCTACGAGCATCAGCTCCAGTGCCTTGAAGTGCCTCGACACATACCTTAACGCAAAAGTATGGTTACTGGCCAAATCGGTATTTCCCACCTTTATGGTTACCCGCCTATAATCACCTACCTTACCCACAAGTTGTGACGCTTTTGTTTTCTCATAGGGCCACTTCGCTTCGTTACCTTCCTCGACACGAGGTATACCTAGGCAATCTACCCTGACTTACCTTAAGGTAGGTAGGTATCTGATTTGAGCAACGGGGAACGGCGAGCTCCATTGTGTCTCCTGGCACACTCGTTTCGTTCACCCCGTTAAACCCTTGTGGCTTCCCGCGAAGACCTGGCCAAAAGGTACTTTATATCGATCCATTGGAGGCTTTCCTGGCCCGCTGCCCTATTTTCATCTTCCTACCTTAAGGTAGTTTCTGGATTTTCCAAACCCCAGAGCCCGTCTTACCTACCTCCTCCTTCTACTCTCAAGATCCCAGCCAAGCCATCCTTGGACAAAATCCATTGCGAACCCCTCCCACTTCGTCCGGTACCGGTACCTCACTTGCATTCCTCCTTACCATCCTATCGCCAGCCTTTCGCTCAAGTAAATCTTGGTCAAATACCGCAGTCACTTTTCTTCAGAAATGGCAAGTCAAGATTCAAAGTCCGCCAGCGGCAGCGGACCTACTCAGTGTGTCGGTCCGTTGTATCGTTCAGAAAGTCAGAAGCCCACGGCCACTGTCTCGACTGAAATCAAGTTAGACAACGTTGTTGTCTTGTCCCAAACGCCTCAACTTATCGCCCTTCTCACGTAAGCTTCCTAGTGTTCATCCTACCCCTCGTAACACCCAGTAGAATATAATGAGGCACCGGCCCTACGCAGAGACGTGACTAAAGAAACACCTCTTTGAGTGGTACCATTGGCTTACTGATCTCCGGCAGCATCATTCGAGACAAGAACACGGAGCGCGGTGACTTCATTTTCTACTCCAACCGCATCATTCGCCTGCTCGTGGAGGAAGGTCTGAACCATTTGCCTACCGTTGAGCATGACGTGACAACACCCATTGGTCGGACTTACTCTGGGCTTATGTTCCAAGGCAAGATCTGCGGCGTATCCATCATGCGTGCCGGCGAGGCCATGGAGCAAGGTTTACGCGACTGCTGCCGCTCTGTCAGAATCGGCAAGATTTTGATCCAGCGCGATGAGGAGACTGCTCAGCCGAAGCTATTCTACGACAAGCTGCCAGAGGATATCGCCCAGCGCTGGGTTCTTCTTTTGGATCCCATGTTTGCCACTGGTGGTTCCGCCATCATGGCAGTCCAGGTCCTCAAGGCTCGTGGTGTTCCCGAGGACCGCATTCTGTTCCTGAACCTCATTGCGAGCCCTGAGGGTATCCAGAACTTTACCGCAAAGTTCCCCAAATTGAGAGTTGTCACGGCATTTGTCGACCAGGTATGTACAAGCCGGCCCCAGCTCACCTCGGATCACACAGTCTAACAATTGTTTTGCTCTAGGGTCTGGACGAAAAGAAGTAAGTTCGCATCCTGCGATGCCAAGAAGCCTCTGTCATACTAATGGGCTGTGATAGCTACATCATCCCCGGCCTCGGCGATTTTGGGGACAGGTTCTACACTGTTTGAGTGTGGCTGTATGTCCTGAAAGCCAACTTTATATGGCATTGGTCTCCGGCTTGGGTTTCTTCTGCACTACTGTCCTTGTCCCCGTGTGTTGCAGACCTTAGGCTGCATTCATTGACAATGCACCTCCTCGTGTACGTTCAAGAGGTTGCTAGTTCATCTAGTATTCATCATCATCCATGTCGATACCCTCACCCCCGTATCTCCTATCGTCGTCGTCATCGTCTACTGGCCGGCTCGTGGGGGGGCGCCGAGCGCTCGAGGTCTTGTGATTGCTTCCGCCGACGGGTCCTGCTTCCTTGGCAACAGCATCTGCGGACATGTGTCAAATGCATGTTCTCAAGGCGATTGCAACAGCGATTAAGGTATTAAACATGTACTTACCTGCAGCGTCCACCCACTCTCCATAAACGTCCACGGCGGCCGAAAGGTCTAACAGGGGTTTAGCAGTTGGGAAGGGGGAGACGAAAGCAGTTGCAAGAATAGAGCCTCACAATTGATACTACACTGGAACATCTGACCGCATACTCTGCAGTCCAACGAACCAACACCCGCTTTCTTATCCAGCTTTACAGCGACGGAGTCTTCGTGGTTGCAGAAGAGGCACGTGAACTTGGAGGGAAGAACCTCTCTCTGTGAGTTGGCGTCAATAACTGCGTCGCCAGCATACAAGCAACCTGCACCAGCCCTCAAGCGGAGGAAGCAAACGAACCTTTTTCGGGCCTTGAGGTTTGCTCGAACTTTTGCGCTTCCCCATGATGCTGAGTGACGATGAATGATATGCGCGACCGGCGCGTAGAATATAGAAGGGAGCGAGAGGGTGTGTCGGAGAATAGCAGGTTGCGCAGTTCGTTGTTGTCCGCGTTCGTGTGCAATTGCAAGCGCAGGGTACGTCACAGGCTGGAACAGACGTGGAAGAAAAGCAATAAGATAGGCGTTTGAGAGATGGCTCAGCGGCGGGTGGTGAATGAGGCTAAAATTCCAGCACATGCAACGGATGCGACGGTGGAATGCGCGACGGCGACATGTATTTTGCGGGTGGACAGCCCTTGGCCGAGGTGGCGTGGGCGCAAGGTGCACTGGTGCCGCAGTCACGGTGGACCAGAAAGCTCTACTGGAGCAGAAGGTACCTTACTTGCTTGGCTGCCTTACCTACCTTACCTTTCAATATGTACCTTATCTATCGGAGGCTGGCAGCGGGGTGACTAAGGTACCTAGGTAGGTGCTCTGCACGCACCTCAAGGTAGGTAAGTACCTAAGCGCGTAATCGATAAGATACCTAACCTACCTAGGTGGAAAGCATGGCACATCCCACCCCGCTCTAACCTTGAGGTAAAGTAATGGAAGGTAAGGTATATAGGTACTATCCGTATATTGCCCATCTACCGTACCCCGTACCTACCTTCCATAGAATCAGAGGAACGATATCGGAGTCCGGCACTTGATGCACAAGCTAGAGCGGCTCATAGCCGTCCCATATGTCACCTGCACAATTATCAGATTCAAACATACCTACACCTCACGCATTGCATCCTACATCTTGTGTTCTGAGCTACACAACAAGCCATTGTTATTGTGAAGACGTAAGGCACGTAAGACACCAGGCATCTTCGATCTAGATACCCTGGCGAGTGAGGGGTTGCGGAAGGGTGTCACTTAAGGTAAAGCCTGCTAAACCTTACCTCATGCATTCATTGCCTTCAATCGTACCTGTCTTATGACAATGCCCTCTCTGAGGATCTTGAGTAACTGCTCACCTCAGACGCATTTGTGCTTTCCTGATGGATGGTAAGGTAAGGTAAGGTATCAATACCGCTAGGTCCTTCGGTCGCCTTATCTTCGGCGCTCGAAGCCGCATCAAGCTGTCTTCCTCCTCCACCGAGTCCTTGTCTGCCCTGGGTGTTTGGGAAGGTCGCGGACGGCCCCGCAACCCGAGAACTCAGGTGGGCGCCGCCGCCGCATCACGATAGGTCCACACACACCCAGTCTTTACATACCTTATCGTAGACCTCCCCACAAACAATGATGCTTATCACTAAGGTAGCAACGCTGAGCATAAGGTACCTAGGTAGAGTCTACCTTACCTACCTGCTTTACCTACTACGTAGCAGAACTCCACGTCTTCACTTTGAGGTAAGGTAAGCTGGACAACTACTCAGTACCCAACATTGCACTGTATGTCATGCACGAGTCTGCTTCTATGCCTTGTACTTAGGTTGCTCCTCGCTCAGGATGTGTTATGTAAGCGTATCCTGTAAGGTCGGTTGGCGGGGGAGGGTGCAGGTGCCCGCATGCCTACCCTTTCCTCCAGGTAGGTGCCTTAAGGTAAGGAAGGTAAGCACCCCAACCCCCATCCCCAGCCCGAACTAAGGTAGATGGGACTGGACGTCCGTGAGACTCGAAAGCCCATGTACCGCATCACCTGTTACCCACGGATAAGAAGGGTCGGGCACGGTAGTGGGTACTTGCCCCTCCCCGTCCGGCCAGCTCAATGTTCACGCGCGGCGCCTTCCGATGGGGTCACGAGATCGCCCTCGGGGCGTCGACCGTCTCTCCTTTGTGCATCTCTATCTTCTCTCATGCTGTTTACTACATAGCCCTCACTGCTGGCTTCGATATAGTCATCATCCTCGTCCCTCATCCTTGGCTCTCCAGTGGACCAGCCATCGGTAGTCACCGACTTGCCTTTGCATGCCTTGCCTCTCAAGAGATAGCTGTCCCCATGTGCTCCTTACCTTCCACAGTATACTCTAGCTTTGTCTTACTTGGACTCGCCTCCTATTAAACTTCATTTCGTCCAGCTTCCTTTCCACGTCTCCCGTCTCTTCATCCTCTCCTCCTCTTCCTCTTCCTCCTCCTCTTCCTCTTCCTCCTCCTTCTCCTCCTACTTCCACCTAGTCTCCGGTCAGAATCCCCGTCCCTCCTGCTCAATCTTCCCTCGTGAAGCATCCCAGCAATTTGTCTACGGTCTCTCACACTCCAACACAGCGCATTTTTGAAAGACGCGGGCGACCTTCTCACAAGACTTCTCTCTTTGTGTCTTCTGCAGTTGTAGTGTGACAACTAGAAATTGATCGTCATGAGCCACCCTACCGTTGACGATGGCTCTTTGGCCGAAGTCATAAACTCCTTGAAATCCATCCAGCAGACTCAGTCTGACCTTGTGGCTGCTGTCGACTTGCTGAACCAACGATACCAACAGCTGCCTGTTGATTCTGATGCAGCCACACTCGATCCGAATGCATCCCTCAGCGAGATCCCTGAAAGATCTCGAACCCCCGAGCCTTCCGATGCCGTTGGTGAATCTGCCAAGAGCTCTTCGTCCGATTTGACCTTGCAGGCCCCAGCTTTGCCCTCGTCACCCAGCCAGCGATCCGGCCTCACTTCCCGCATCATCCTAACGTACGTTTCCAGCTCCTATGGTGCACCGCTTGCCGCCTGTCACCATGGCAGATCTTTCTCTGACCGATGCTCTCATTCTAGGACTTATCCAAAGCAGATCGGCATCAACCCTCTCCCCATGAATTGGGGCGAATCGGACCCCCATCGTCGTGGGCCAGTTGTTGTTTCTCGTTCATCTACCACTATTGGAAGACGTAACGGTCCGTAGGCCCGGCCCCCTTACTTACGCGTAACAAGCAATATTAGCTGACACTTTTGTCTATTCTCAAGCTGTCGGAGGTCAGTAACATACCTTTACCTGTCTACTAAGTTGTCTTGAACTGACAGTGTTTACAGCCCAGTGAGTGACCCATTCATGGAATACTCTCTTGGCCATCTCAAAGGGAAGAATATGAATTGTTGCGGAACAGAATAGCTGACAGTGGACTCGCAGTGGTGGTTCTTACTCCATCTACTATGCCCTGGCTGTTGCCAGCAAGCAACTTAATCTCGAGCATAGGTGAGCCGTTTTGTCGCCAAAACCAGTATGTGGACTCATTGATTCTAGACCCGACTTCACCAACACGGAGCCGGCTGCTAAGATTGGTCCCTTCCCTCAATGGGGAGATCCCAAGAAGATCGTCGCCATGGATCCCTGGGGCCATCTGTCTCCCTGGCTCTTCAAGGACACTATCGAGAAGCACAACGGTGAGTAGATACATTAAGCCTGCACCTTTTACAGCATGAGATCTTGGACTGAATCGCCATAGTCGACATTCGCCCAACCATCGCCATCACTAAGGCACATATGAAGGTACCGTTGCGCCTACTGGAGTGATATTACGTCCCCTGACAATGTTTAGCTTCCCGAGCTGGAGGAGAGTGTCAAGAGTGGAAGACTGTGAGTGAAGCCATGACCAGGAGACGGTGAGCGTCGTTGTAGGGGCTGACTGGCTAGTGTTCCTGACGGCAAAGTCTGCTTGAACGAGCTTGGAGAGCTGGCCGTAACCAAGTTCGCCGTCGAGCCGGTATGTCAGCTTCCCAGCTACTGATTCAGATTGTTTGCTGACGCTCTCCGCACAGGTTTGGTATCTCCCCGGCGTAGCTGAAAGATTCGGCATCGGTTCGTCAGGCTACAACCATCTGGGAATCTATCAGCAGCTAATTGCAAACAGATGAGGGGGCCTTGCGAAGGTCTCTTTTCGAACACACTGGTGGCAGCTACCCCGAGGTAGATGGCCCCTGTTACCTCATAGACACACACGCTGACCATTTGTCATAGTTGATTACCCGCAACGATATTAAAGTGTTTCTGCCCCCCATAGGTAATAGCACCCAGGCTTCGAGCAAGAGGATGAACTGACAATGTGTATCATGTAGGTGGTCTGACAGTATACTGTTTCGGCGACCCGGCCAAAATGTCCGACGAGTCAGTACGACTGGCATTGCGAATTCACGATGAGGTTTGTCGTCTCACTGCTACGGGTAGTTTTGCAATTAACCGTAACGTAGTGCAATGGTAGCGACGTTTTTGGATCCGATATCTGCACATGTCGCCCTTATCTCATATTCGGCATCGAAGAGGCAGTCAAGGAGGCGCAGAATGGCGGGAGTGGTGTCGTTATTTACTTCCGAAAAGAGGGCAGAGCCCTCGGTGAAGTGACCAAGGTGAGCAATGCCGAGTTCCAAGATTGATTGTGCATGAGTTGATGACAGTTATATAGTATCGTACGTACTCTCTTGCTTGTTTGGCATCAGAGCCTTGCTCATGTGAAGACTACACGCGGGCGACCGAGGCTGCACGTTTCATGATAGGCTGCTAACTGACCACGAAGTCGTGTACAACGCTCGTAAGCGCGGAGAAGACCGAGCATCGGACTACTTTAAGAGGACAGAGAACATTGCTGGAGTGAAGGACATGCGTTTCCAGGCTCTCATGCCCGATATCCTGCACTGGCTCGGAATCCGCAAGATCGACAGAATGCTGAGCATGAGCAAGTCAGTAGCTCCTCCCCATCCGAGATACCATGACGCTAACGTGAACCACAACAGCATGAAACATGATGCCATTGTAGGACAAGGGTAATGGCGATTTTTTTACGTGTCAGTATTTCAGATCTTGCTGACAATTTCTCTAGAATTCCCATTCACGAGCGTGTCGAGCTCCCCGAGGAGTGGATTCCTGCAGATTCTCGCGTCGAGATTGATGCAAAGATTACTGCAGGTATGCAAGTGAGAAGGGGAGCGTGGCCCGCTGTCAGTGACTGATGAGTTGCTATAGGATACTTCACCGCCGGAAAGCGCATGACCGAAGAAGAGTTAAGAGCTGTGCAGGGCAGGATGTGGGAAGAGTAAGTCTACCTGCTTTCCCCGCGTTGCAGGCATCGTGTATGACTGACCAAATCCTTCCTTACTTCACAGTCTCGACCATTAGCTCCTGCAGAGATGGCATTCGCTAGTAGGAGGGGCAAGTAAAGGCAACATCGCCAGCTTCAGGTGATTACGCACGTGGTTGTGATACTTGGCCCAAATGATGGATGAAAAGGCATCGGTGAGAACCGATGAAGCTCCTATACAAGTCGGTGCAGTATTGGCCTCTGCATGGAACACTTGCACCATTGCCGACAGCAGTGGCTTGATAGAACATGCAGTATAATCCATGTGTGGTATGCCTACCGCATGCCAGTCTTGGACCGGTAGATGGGAGCCAGGTGAGGAGTGGAAATTCGGATGGATGGCACTTTGGCCAGCTGGTAATATCTGAAGCCAAACTGCATGTATCTAGACAGACGCAACGCTTGTGGTCAGGAACCAACCCCGCGCCCAGTGAGATAGCTTGCCTGCGTTGAATTGACTTGTCTAGCAATAATGCAAGGGTAACCGAACCAGCTGCAACATATGTAATGATTACACAGAGCCGCGAGAGTATACCAGTGTCCAGAGGCGACAATCGGCCGTGATTGTCGCACCACTCGGCTGCGAAGAAACCAGGCTGGGGTATGGATAGGCCCGACCTTGTCTGTGGGCTGACCGGGGGGTGTTCCGATGCAGAATCCTTTGGTGTACGAATATACTACCGTGACTACTTACATGTTAACTTACAGTTGTGCAGTATAAGGTACGGAGTACAACGGCTCGAGCAGTGTAGCATGTCCTTGACCGGTCTGGAAATGTCATAGCCATGGGCGGTCTTGATTGGGTTCGACTGAGCGGGACCTCATGGGAAATGGTCAACGAAGCGGTTGGCAACCCCACAATGGCTGCAGGCGTGACGCCGGCCATGCATGGCCTTTGCGTATAAGTGCCCAAACAGACGCTCACCGACCCATACAACACCAGACACATAGTTGGGAGCCGGTTCCCCATCAGGCACCGGCCATGTGGTCCAATGATGGGACGCTGGTACTGTCAGCGGAAAACCGTCGACCGGGCTCGCCCGTCCCCAAGGAACCGACATTCCCGCCGAGTAGCCGGAGGTGATGGCTTATTGTTAACGCGCACGACGCCCACTTGATGAGGGGCGCAACATAGCAATCATGGTTCCTTACCATCCCAGAGCTGTTGCATTCTTGCAAATTCGATCGCCGCCGTGCCATTATCGGTCTCACCCAGACTTGTACCAGGATATCTGTTCAACGCGATGGCGACCGTTTCCCGGGACCTTCGGGACACGGACGGTGTGCGGAGGAGAGAGGCATCACCTCGGCCGGACCGTCGACGTCGACCAAGGCTCCTACGAGCCAGCGCGACGGAACCTACCATCACAACGACATCCAATGCCAGCCGTGGCGCCATTTCGAGCCCGCAATCGTCTCAAAGGGCCACCGAACTCCTCAGCCGCGTTGCCGTATGTTCGGGTCATGCTCCCGAATACTCACCGACGTCGGTGGCCGCTCCCCATATGGCGTCGCTCAGCGCCGAAGACATGACCATTCCAACTACAAATCGAGTCCAGGGCCATCGAGAACACCTATCTTGTTCGTAGACTGCCACGATACCAGCATCCGACGATCAAATTACTGATACCAGTGTGGCCAGACTCGAACGGCTATTTCAGCTTTCCAAACTTTGATGCGTGGGATGGAGAACGGCGCAGTGATGACAAGGAAGAGGACGTATGAAACGGAGAATTGTCGTGATCAGTCGACATGAAGGGACTTCCCTGAGGGGGTCCAATGCTGTTACTGGGAGTTTCAGCACACAATAAGCGTTCTACGTGAATACAGAACAAGGCGAAGAAACAAGAGACACCGGCCTAGAGACGTTTTGCTCCCAGCTGGTATTCGAGCAAGGAGGAAGCAAGAACGAGAGGAGGAGAGACGGCGCGAAGAAATAAGAAATAGCCCGGACAACGGTACGGAATGGTCGATCTGAAAGCATCGACGTTGATGAGACTCAAATATGGTTCGTTCTAGCGCCAGGGCGTTGATTTTGGGTCGGAATCGGTTGAGGAGTTACGCATCTTTCCTCTGAGAGACGCGAAAGCCGCGTTGCTCGTTCAATGGCGTTGTGGGATTTTGTAGGATATCCAGCTTTCCGAGGCGGTTCTAGGTGTGATGCCCGTACGTATGTCACAAACCGGACGCAAAAAATAAGAGGGTACATAGGTTTACACGGGTGGTAAGAATGTATGCGTAAAGTAAAGATACACTGCCAGCCTCGTATTGTCATGCTTGTTCACGGACAGACCTGAATGAGTGTAAATCTCGGTAAGGCGGGAGACCCGTTCACCGATCACCACAATGTGGAGGCACAGGGCATCACACCCACCTCACCTTGCCCCAAAGGCGGGGCAAAGTTCCAACAGTTTGTACCTGTAAGGCCTTCCATCTTGACTAGGGGGCCGGAGTATTGTGATGACATGTCACTGGCCAAAGTGGCCTTGAAAAGTCAACCAATTGGAGGCACTGGATGAAAAGTTGCAGAGACACTGACGTCTCAGAAGTGGAACTCTTGGGGCTGGCTTCAGCGCCAAAGAATTGTGAAAAAGTGCACATCACGTGATATACAGTGCTAAATATGGATTCGATAGCTGATTACTGTGCTTCTCGCTGACGAGGTCCACGAGGTGCTTGCCCTGGCGTGGTCGGGGCAGGGGCATGCACAGTGCACCATGCTGGAAAAAAAACCCGGATTACATAATTCGAACGGGGCACACTCGCTAAGAATTTCGAGCCACACATTCTCGCATCTTGAATTTTATCACCAGCGAAACCACCACCCCTCCAAACCTTTCAACTACTCAACGTTCATCCGCCAGACAATTAACAGCCGCCCAAAATGGCTGTGGGAAAGTGAGAATAACCACCTCTGGACGAATTAACGACGATATGCCGCCGACCGCAATCGTCGTCGCCCAGGCGCAGGCCGTAAACAGCAGCTAACCAGTTTTTCCCTCGCAGGAACAAGAGATTGTCCAAGGGCAAGAAGGGTCTCAAGAAGAAGACCGTGGACCCCTTCTCCCGCAAGGACTGGTACCAGATCAAGGTATGTGTTTTGCCGCTGTGCGAAATAAGTCTCGATGCCATTTTTTTGCAGTATGCTGACTGGTTTTTTTCTTCTCTCCCACAGGCCCCCGCGCCTTTCAACGTTCGCGAGTGAGTTCTCAGCCCAAACCCGACGTGGATCACGATTCGACATCCAGCCATTGTCGACAGCCGAGCGCGAGAAGGAATTGAGCCATCGGGTGGGTGCTGACTGCGCGTGTCTTTTAGTGTCGGCAAGACCCTGGTCAACAGAACCACCGGTCTCAAGAACGCCAACGACGCCTTGAAGGGCCGCATTCTGGAGGTCTCTCTGGCTGATCTTCAGAAGGATGAGGATCACGCTTTCCGCAAGGTTAAGCTCCGTGTCGACGAGGTCCAGGGCAAGAACTGCCTGACCAACTTCCACGGCCTCGACTTCACCTCCGACAAGCTCCGTTCCCTCGTCCGCAAGTGGCAGACTCTCATTGAGGCCAACGTCACCGTCAAGACCACCGACGACTACCTCCTCCGCCTCTTCGCCATTGCTTTCACCAAGCGCCGCCCCAACCAGATCAAGAAGACCACATATGCTGCCTCTTCGCAAATCCGTGCCATCCGTCGCAAGATGACTGAGATCATCCAGCGCGAGGCCTCTACCTGCACTCTCACCCAGCTGACCTCCAAGCTCATCCCCGAGGTCATCGGCCGTGAGATCGAGAAGTCTACCCAGGGCATCTACCCCCTGCAGAACGTAAGCACTTTCTTACTGGTGCCACTGGCCCAGTGACTAAATGGTACTAACAACCATCCCAGGTCCACATCCGTAAGGTCAAGCTTCTCAAGCAGCCCAAGTTCGATCTCGGTGCCCTCATGGGTCTCCACGGCGAGTCTGGCACCGACGACCAGGGACAGAAGGTTGAGCGGGAGTTCAAGGAGCGCGTTCTTGAGGAGGTTTAAAGGAATCAGGCCCTGCATGATGGATGCTCCGGCAGAAGGGGACTCTGGCTCTACCGGCCGGGAAACAAATCCGGCATTGTTTTAGGTCGTTGCACATGGCGTAGCATATAAGGCGGCTGCGGGTCTAGGGTACCTCAAAATGGTAAATGGTCAATTCTTCAAAGACACTCTGCAATGTGTGTATGCAGCCTGGCTTCGAGTTGTCTAGCACAGGTGGGAAATGCGAGGCTGCTTCCCTCACGGGATTCTCGCGCTCCAGCTCAAGCACCGCTGGTGGCCTGGCCATCACGACTTGGCTCATATCCCCTCACTCGTAAAGAACACGACCTACGGGGGCCGCCTGACCAATCCTCAGTGCCGTGGCGTACGAAAAGTCCCTTGTGGGATTGAGTCTATAGCAAGTCTATGTGGCCCGAAACATTTGCCTAGTCAAAATGCATTCCCTTAACCACACTCGCCTATTATGTCTAATAGTTTGCAGAGGGATGAGTGAGACGACTACAGCAGCCTACTTCCCAGGATCCCTTAGTCTTGGTTCTTTAGGAACTCAACGACCGCTACCGAGGAGTGATCAGTATTGTGACTATTTCTTTAAGATAAAGTGCTTGTGTACCTTGACGAAACTCCTCAGGTTTCTCCGAAATGCACCAGTGCCCGGCATCAAGATCTACTAGTCGAAACTTGGGGAAAAATTGCCCAACCGTCGGCAGGACGTCATCAGGCACGTACTTGCTTTTGGTTCCCCGAACAAATAGGGCAGGCTTTTCGAAGCGAGTCTTCGTCGGGTCCTTGAATGGGAAATCGCCCATGTGGATTAAGGACCGACTGATGATGTCGAGGGGCACCCGGAACTTTTGCTGCGGCTTGCCAGCCTCTGGCCGATACAAATTACCCAGAAGAAACTGGCGAATAGGAAGAGACTGCAGCACAATGGTGAGCATGATTGATCGAGATTGATCGAGCAAACCCTCTAAGAGTAAAGTGGAATAATCTCACGTCCTCGTAATCCTTC